TCCCCATCATCTCACAACCCCAAAACAAAACCCCCCCCCCCCCCCTCTCTTCCGCAAATGGATAATGCTTGATGACAGTTGATGACGGACGCCTTATTCTCATCCTTTGATTATGATTGGAATTATACGTACTGGTCTTTGATGAGAACGGAATCTGGACCGAACAGGTAGCCTATTGAGCCGTCGAGTTCGGCGTCTGTGTAGTACCCTTTTCCCAGGCTGCGGAGTGAGGATGCGATCATGGATTGCAGGGAGGGTATGTCGGCGGGGGTTGCGGGGCGGAAGGTGTATTGGTGGGTTGCTTCTTGGGCTTTTGCTGAGGCGACGGGGTCGTGCATTTTGAATTTGGGGATGAGTGCTCTGTATCTTTCTGGATGTCTCATGAGGGTTGTAGGTCTTTTGCTGCGTAGATGTATCTTTCTTAGTTGTTGGTGCGGTCGGCCCAATCACACGTTATCGTTATCGCGAGGCTTGGGAGTGGGATGCTTTCCGACGGAAACCATCCCTGTTCCGCAAGGTTGGTTGCTTCGTATCGATCATTCCGAAGTCTATGGCGCGTCTTTCTTTCCAACGGTTACACGTACGAGTCGTAGAGGTGTATGTTCCTCGTCTTTAACGCGCATCTCATAAGATTTGCTGGGCGGCGCGCTTTGACCACCACGCGCCGGTTGATGTCGCGATTCTAACTTTCCGCCTCTGGCACCCACGTGGCACTATCGTCTTCCCCCAACAACCTTCTTACAACAACTCACGAATGACCCCAACCCCCGGCAGTGACCGCAATAAACCTAATAACGAAGATTGTGCAATGTCAATGTCGACCCGAACCGGCTCCAGGCCCAGAGTGAACAACGGCGCCCCGCACTTAGCGAGATGAACAGTCTGGAAAAGCGAACGCGAGCATCGACATGTTCATCACAATCAATGCCGTTTTTCCTCCGAGTCATATTGCCAGAAGCTCAGGGTTGGAGCGATTCGGCGACTCATCGACTCAACGGTAAATACCAGGCGTAAGGTTAAAACGATCGCGCCTTCCTTGCGAGTCATCCAGCGCGGGCAGGTGATGCGGATGAATGGAGTTGCAGAAAGATCATGGAAGCATCGATCGCAAGATCCAAGATCCTCAACAACGGCAGCACCCTGCAGTGGCTGATGCTGTACCTGCTTCTTTTGCTTCCAAGAACTGTTCGTTTTTGGCGTCCGCAGGATGAAGCAGGGTATAGAGTCGTGCACCAAGGGTGTTGCGATGGCTAGCACCCTTTGGACACATTGCATCAACATCGCCTGAAGCATCCAGACAGCAGATTGCCGTGAGTGGAAGCAAGCTCGTCTTACATGCCCAGTCTGCCAGTATCGCACACACTAAAACATCCATCTATTGGAGTACCTTTGCGAAAAGATTTTCAACGTCACCAGACGTCGCAGTCAAAGGCAAGAAGGCATGGCTTCCATGTGCGGCGCATTCCGCTCACAACGGTCAACTTGCGGTGCTGGCGTTGCCAGCGTTTGGCCATCTTTGGCGCGCTTGCTTTTTGTATCACGTTGGGTGTTGAAACAGCTAAGAGCGTCAGGCGAATTTAAAATAGCACACGGTCCATAACGGGACGCTCCCGTGACGTCGATCAGCCCTATACCAGCAACGGCAGCATATATGCGAAAGCTTATTTGCGTTTGGAAGCGTTCTTGACAACGAACAGGAACTTCGCTATATGCAAAACCGCAGTATTATGCAGAAATGCCTCCATCCGCAGACGGTCCAATCGCATCTTATGTCGAGAGTTTTCCTCGCATTGCTTGCGATGAAGTCATTCCGCCTTTTCGAGACAGCCGTTTTCTTGTCAGCTCAACCTCCTACACTGACAGCTCGGAGACGGACGTCACTATGGCCAATAATTCACAGCAGAGTCTAAGACGTACCGAGGCAACGCAGGCACGTTGCCGACGCACATGGAACATCCTCGCGTGGGGCACTGCCCTGTAGCAAGATCAGCCGGGGTGACTAAAAAGTAAAGTCCAAGCGCATGAATGATGATAGTGCTTTTTCGGTTGTCGGATCACTTGAGGGTCCTGAGTGGTCGATGGTACAGGTTGTTCGAGTCGAGGAGGCTCGAAGTGGGACTGTTATTCCTCCGTACCCCATCTCCACCATGACTCTCGTGAGAACTCAACCTACTTGGCAGCACTTGGTAGCAGTTGCATGACTGGGGCTTGTTGTCCTTGCAATACATCGATGCAGAATTGGCCAATCCAGTGTCGAGTCGACGAACACCTTCCTCGGCTGCGATCTTAGTTACCGGTTGTTTCCACTTCATCGATGAGCCCACTGATACCTTGGCGGTGCCTGGCACTATGCCCTGTCTTCTCGACTTGATCGTCGTCATGGGTAGATTGAGCTTGGCCATATGCCTGGCCGAACATCTTAGGATTATAAGAAGGTAGGACGCCGGCTTCAGTTGGAGATCATCATCAGTCAACACTGCCAGCAACACTACAGTTCACAGGCCCGGTGCTTACATTCGCTCGTACCTTCTTCGCTTCTTCTCTATCTCCTTGTCAATAGCAGATTCAACTTTCATCCCTCTTCCCCCTATACATCCACCAGTCAACACCATGTACGCCAAATCCGTCCTCATCGCCGCCCTTGCCGGCTTCGCTTCCGCCAGCCCCATCGAAGTCGAGAGCCGCCAGCTCTTTGGTGGTGGAATCGGCGGCACAGGATCCAGCTCGAGCGAGTTCAGCCGCGGCGGCTGCAAAGACGTCCTCTTCGCCTTTGCCCGTGGCTCCACGGAGATCGGCAACATGGGAACAGTCGTCGGACCGCCGACCTCGAACGGCCTCAAGAAAGAATTCGGCGCCGACGCCGTCGCGACCGAGGGAATCCCCTACGCCGCCTCCATCGGCACCAACGTCCTCCCCGGCGGCACCGACACACGCTCCAAGAACATGATGGCCGACACCCTCAACAGCATGGCGCAGAAATGCCCCGACTCCGTCATCGTCGCTTCAGGCTACTCCCAAGGCGCAGCCGTCTGCCACCGCGCCATCGAAGGCCTCGACCCCGCCGTCATGCAGCAAATCGCCGGTGTCGTCACTTACGGCGACACCCAGAAGCTGCAGGACAGGGACCAGATCCCCAACTTCCCCAAGGAGAAGGTCAAGATCATTTGCCAGCCTGGCGATGCTGTTTGCCTCGGTACGCTGAGCGTGCTGCCTGCGCACTTGACATATGGTGTCCGCGCGGATGAGGGCGTGGCTTTCCTTGTGCAGCAGATTAAGGGTGTGCAGGCGAAGATCAAGGCGAGGAACGCGAAGAGGGACGCTGTTGAGGTAGACGCAGAGACGCAGAGGCAGGCTGAGAAGATGGACGCTGAGATGCAAGAGGCGATTAAGCAGGCTGCTCAGGAGATTGAGGCTTAAGGGTTGATTTGGGGATTGACTTGATGGGATTTGGGGCTGGATACATGTGTGGCTGGATCACTTGGGGATGTTTATGACCTTCTTTACTTTCTTTTATCTTTTCTTTCTTGGATTGTAGTGTTATCTTACGAATTTGATTGGATTGGGCCCAGCATATTTGAGCATCTTGCGTTTGTGCTGAGTGACGTCTTTGTGCAATTAGTGAGAAGAGCATCATGAGATGGGAAGAAAATGCATATGAGTTGGGTGTTACGGTTGATCGTCAACTAGATCGTGTCCGAGATAGGCAAGTTACGATAAGGTGTTGATTCTGGCACCGTCGCTTGCCCCGACTGCCCCGAATGCTCCCCGCTGCCTGCCCCGCTTTGATAAATCGCCGCAACGACTCAGGCTTCAGCCACCATTCTGACGAGAAGGCAACACAAGCGATAGCTCTCGATGCGTGGAAGTTCCATTGCGCCTTTTTCCCTTCCAGAATTATCTTTACCATGTGTTTCAAACTTCCAGTATGAGAAGCTCACGGGACCGAGATGACATCAATACCCAGCGCATATCATACTACGAGCCTAAAGGCGCACGAACAAACATGTTCAACCCTCTCATTCCAAAGACGAGAGAACATCTGGGTTAAGGCAACGTTCATTGTACTATCAAACCAAATCGCTCCCGACAACTGACGCCCCGCCGCCCAGTCGTAGAATTCCATGGTCACGCCGTACGACATGCATACTAGCCTTGTACACGTGTACAAGATGCAGACAAAGGTACGGGATTAGGGAGTGCCCTGATGCTAGTCGTAACCATAGATTGAGCATATCCTCCGGCCATTCACATCAAGCCCCGTTACACCATCACGCAGTGAGCCAGAAGCGGCCTCCAACGGCGCCGGCAGAAGACGCAAATCGCCAATCACCATGTTACGCAGCATACCAAGAAGATCCGAAGCGAGACTAGGTAGTCTGCCACTATGGTGGAGTTACGCAGTAGCTCGCGGATGATCATTCGCTGGGAGAGTAGCTGTGCGGACCATTCGAGCACTTACACCCTCCTACCTCTACCATATCAAGACGAACTACTACACTACTTACCAACGCGAGAACCTCTAAACACCGTCTCTCAGACAATACCAAACACGACACGCCCACCATGCCCTCCCCACCACCCACGCCCGAAGAAGCCCAGCGCCGCCAAACCGAAGCGCGCGCAGCCGTCACCGCATCCCTCGCCAGCGTCGGCGCGTCCGTCGACAACGAGATGCGCACGCGCACCGCCGACCTGCACGCCAACTCTGCCGCAATCGCAAAGCAGGAAAAGGAGCTAGCGAAGCAGACGGCGGCACTGGCGAAACAGACTGCCGAGTGGGATAAACTGCTTCAGGGCGGCACGAAGAAGTTGAATGAGGTGGGGGATATTCAGAACTGGGCGGAGATGATTGAGAGGGATTTGCTGGTGTTGGAGGAGACGGTTAGGTTGGTGGATGGGAAGGGGAGGGAGAGGGAGGAGTCGGCGAGTGGGACGGGGGGTTGGTAGACGATACCAAGACATGGCAAGGAATGTACGGTGACGGTCGTGGTATGAATGATGAAGTGCTGTTGAGTAATATATAATATTGTTATCAAGTCTCCGGATTGCATATCCAGGTATGCTGCCTTTCGGTGGTGAGATAGTAATATGCCTGCTACCGGAAATTATATGGGACGACGGATGTCAGTGTAACCGGCCCATGAATTAATGTGAATGCGCCCCAACAGGCCCACCGCAACCGCAATCGTGATACCGTCTCGTCACCTTCTGCAGAGAGAGTGACGACAGCGCGTCGCTTTCGTGACGCTCTAAGCTTGGATCATCGGGCACGGACCACGTCTCTATGATTGCGGAAACTGCTACTTGCGGTGCTCGTAGCTGGAGCTCCAACAACACCTTCACCTCACCCACCACCCGCCTGCCGACACAGAGGCTCCCGCTATTTCACGGCTGGCACCTGCACCCTGCCACAAAGTCCCCAACTAGCTGCCCAAGATCCACGCCTGCACCGTGGAATCTACCAGCAACCCACCACCCACGCCTCTCCGCCGCCAACCCGCCCGCTTATAGCCATCGCAACATTTCGCGGCGACCGCTTTTGTGTGCAGACCCACCGACGACATACATCATCACGACCCCGCTTTTCGCTCCACTAAAGCCGCAGCCACTTTGGGTTTCTGCGCTTCCGGTAAAGGCAATCGCAGCCTGCCTCTAGACATCCTCTCACGCCACGGACACGGCGCCGTGCTATCCGACCGCCTACACGCAACCACTGCTCGCTAGACACCGGCTTCATAGAGCTTGCATGTGAGCAAGCTTCGTCTTCCGAGCGCCCGGCGCAAACATGAAGATCAAGAAACAGGCTACATCGCGACATGAGTCGACTCTGGTAAGCTGCAGCTCCCCGCGCTCCCCGCCCTCGCCACTGCTAACACAGCGCGTAGTCGCCGATGATAGCAGACTTTGTGAAGGCGACCGAGTCAATACCGCTGTTCCAGCTGCCCGCACATCTCGCCTCGTTCCCCAGGCACTGGCCCTTTCCCCGCGGTGACGCATACCACTGGATCCCCGCCCTGAACCGCTTCGACCACATCCTCGAGCTCTTCAACAAGGAATATGGCCTGGTAGACGGTCCCCAGACACAGGCCTTCCAGCGCCGGCTGCTGCTCAAGGGCGATGCCGAGGAAGGAAGCACCAGCTCCGAGCAAACCACGACCGATGCCGTCCTGGATACCCTGCACGTATCCCGGGATGGCGATCGCGAGCTGGTCGAGCAGATCCTCAACTTCACGCGGATGCTCTTGGAGAACTGCGGGAACCGTAGTCTGTATTCCAGCAGTGAGCGCCTGGACAAGCTGCTAAACACGACCTCCACATCCCTCCTCAAGGCCACGCTTCGTCTAGGCCATCGCCTCGCTCAGCGCTATGCTGCCGCACGCATGCGCTTGGCCCCGGCCACCCTGCACCCGTCCCTTCTCTCCAGCCACTACAATATCAACCTCGACAAGGTCCAGAAGCTGGCTAGCCCATTCGCAAAAGGCCCCGCAACGGCAGCACCTGTCTTCGGTACTCCAGCAGGCAAGGGCAAGGACCGCGCTGGCAGCACTGATAAGGTCAGTCCGTCCGACCTAGTCGCTCTGTACTCTCTGTCCGAGTCATCGATGAAGCAGGAGTTCGGAGGCGTCCTTATTTCGTACTATGAGCCCACCCCCTCGTCCGAAGCAGAGGGCAGTAAGCAGGCATCTACAGAGGCACCCGCGCCCACCACGCCGACTCCCGTACGGAGGACGTCCAGCATGGGACCCAACCGAACACCGAGACAGCCCCAGCCTGCACCCGCTACCGATTCGCCGAGCACACCTGCCTTCACTCCCGGACAATCCAGTAATACAACGAACGGGCCCAAGACGTTCCAGCTGTCAGCGGACAAGGTACACAAGACCGACATACACGACCTCATAAAGGAAGGACTCGCAAGTCTACCGGAGACGGTGCACTACGAATTCCTCCACAAGCTCCGCATCGCAAAGATGTTCAACGAGGGACGCACAGGGCGCGACAGTGCAGTTGCCATCCGCCTACTGTCCATTGCGAACATCGGTTACGTACATGTCGAGAAGGAGTTCATGGCCAAGCTGGGTCAGCAAGACGCAGACGAACCACGCCGGTTACAACTTGCCTACCAACTCTCCGAGCTCGTCCATCCGCCTGGAAACGGCGAGACTGGCATTTCGATGGAGCTGCAAACATATACTATGAGCGCGCTCGAGGCCCTTGCAAAGCACAAGTCTAAAGCGGCTGATGTTTGCACCGCCCTTAGTGTCAACGTTAACCACGGTGTGTTGTTCTACGTTGTGCGTAAGCTGGTCGCTGGCCTCGGCGAGGAAACTGGTAACCCGGATGATATCGAGGAGGACGAGTGGCGCGACGCTTTGTTCTCTCTGCTGAACACTCTGCCGACGTCTCAAACACGCACTGGTGAGCAGATGGTGGCTGCGGGGCTCCTGGAAATTCTTGTCGATGTCCTCAAGCTGCGTACAGCAAAGGCAGAGCGCAACCACCCCAAGATTCTCAACTTCCTTGATACCTTTGTGTACAACCTGCGAGACGCCTTCTCAGCCCTCGTGGCCGCGAAGGGGCTCGAAATCATTGCTGATCTGATGCAATACGAGGTCGACACCTCCAAGAAGCTCGCAGAGGAGGACAAGGGCATGCCCAAGGAGTACAAGACTCAGCTTACTGATTATCAAATTCCGTTCTATCACCAGCAGAGTCTACGCTGGCTTTTCAAGTTCCTCAACCACATGATGTCGCATACAGGCGGAAACTTCGATCGTTTGATGCGAAACTTGCTTGACTCACAACAGCTGCTCAGCAGCTTGCGCACTGTGCTATCAAACGCCAAGACGTTCGGCTCAACTGTTTGGAGCATGGCTGTCACGATCCTTACCAGCTTCATCAACAATGAACCCACTAGCTACCAAGTCATCGCCGAGGCAGGTCTGAGCGATGCGTTCTTGGAGACAGTCGCGGGAGAGCCTGCTTCAGAATCGACGGCTGCAGCCAACAATGACCCCAGTGCTTCAACACCAACGACATACGCTCCTAGGGAGGGCGGAAAGCCACTTGCCGAGGGTATCTTGCCTGTAGCTGAAGCCATCTCGACCCTGCCCCCGGCTTTCGACGGTATCTGCTTGGCTGAAGCTGGTATGAAGCTGTTCCAGTCATCGACCGCCCTCCAGCGATTCTTCGAGATCTTCGAGAGCCCTGCTCACATCAAAGCTCTTGACGCTGATACGGAGATGCCTACCCTGATCGGAAACTCTTTCGATGAGCTAGTGCGCCATCACCCGCCTCTCAAGGCACGCGTTCTTGCCTGTCTAAGCGAGCTGATCGCGCGTGTGGTCCAACTTTGCGCCGACAAGGCCGAGAAGGAAGGTGTAGGAGCCAAGCTTTGGACTGAGGATGCTGCTGGAAAGCTCACCGTGGCAGGCGGCCGCCAAGCGCTTTCTGCATCAGGCTCGCAGCAAAGTACAGCTCAAGCATCAGGGACCACAAGCACTGATGTGGAGATGAAAGATGCTGATGAGACTGCTAATGAACCAGTCGATTACAGTCAAATCACCGAGACTGAGGACAGCACCAAGGGCCCTACCACCGGTCAGTACATCCGCGTACTCTGCCGTTTTCTCTCTGGGTTCTTCTCAAACCACGCCATGTGCGCTGCGTACGTCGAGCTTGATGGTGTAGATTCTATCCTTGACATTTCAAGTCTCGCTTGCTTAGACCCAAAAGCAAGCGAGTATCGCAGCATGTGCGAGCAATTTGGCCACGTTGTTCAGGTACTTGTTGAACAGAAGCCCCATATTGCGGTGCCTTCTCTGATCAAGCGGACACAAGTGGCCTTGGAGCGCCTGCAACCACTCCTGGATCACACCGGCAAGCAAGCCTTCTTCGCACCTTTCACAAGCACTGGTACTTCCCAGAGTCCAGAGCACATGCAGCAAGGTACACAATACGTCAAAGCCTTAGTGTCGGCCCATACCCTCGTCGGAGCCATGACATTGACCTTCCAGAGCCAGATGTACACAACCCGCTCCTCTCACAATGTCTCCAGTCAAGTCAATCTTGCGGACATGTACGCACGTCTTGTGGACAGTCTCGGAAAGCTGCATCGAAGCTGTGTTTGGGAAGAGCTGTTGCTCCAGCGCAACATGCCCACAGAATGGGAGAAGGAGACGCGGATCACGAGTTCTGGTTTCGGCAACGATGAAGCCGACAACGTGTTCCGCCTTGGAAACAGTGCGACCGAACCACCTGCCAACGGAGACGCTGCCGCCTCTGGATCAGCTTCTGAGACCACGGCTCCAAGCCAGAACAGTGCACAGTTCAAGAACACGCAAACTCTCCGCAATCTGCTTAGTAGGATACCTATGGAAGTCGCACCGTTCTTCCAGTCGCTTGGCAAACTACTCTTGTTCCGCCGCAGTCTTGAGGCTTACCAAAGGCAATGTGCAACGGTCGTGTCAGACCAGCTTGCTCAGGCAGTCATTGACCAGCTCGAGTACGAAGGTCCCAAGGAATCAGAGATCATTGAGGACCGCTATGCGTACTGGATCATCATTCTTACTTCGCTGTCACAGCTTATCGTGGAGGTAAACCTCGATCGATCGCAAGCGTTGACCCTGTTGCTTGTGTCCTTCCGCAATCTCGGTGGATTCGACGTTCTGGCGAATATCCTCAACCAGTTCTACGAATCGGCGCTTGAGATCACCCAGAAGCAGGCAGAAGATACTAGTGAGGAGTCAAAGCGAGTGCTCAACCTCTCTCTCGGAGGTATCAAGATTATTCTGGCCTTCTTCTCCCAGATCATCAACTTCAAAGTCATCTCAGAGTCGCCACAGACGTCATCGATGCAAACCCGGCCGGATCGCGATCGGGAGCGGGCTGATCACTTCTTGACTGCTCAGTTTCTTGTTGAGATACGCTACGCCGTTATTGTGCCT